GATTAGACAAACTTGGCAGAAAATCATTAACTGTGAGAATGGTTTCAATATGTGCCAAGGATGCGTTCGAGATCAGGTTACATAAAAGTTAAATTCACGAAGGGAAGACCCTGACCTGCTTGAGCTGATGGCTATAAGGCCTTTCCAGCTGTTTAATCTTCACTTACGGAAATTAAAGCTTCAGGTTTTCTCTACTAAGTATTTTGGGTTACTTTATATTAGTTCTTTGAAGCTGAAGAGTATCTGGCAAGAGGGTTGAAAGGGTTGAACGCCAGCACTATGAACTACCAGAGACTATAATGACTGATCAGAGCTAAAGTATTCTCATGCTTGACTTGTCCAGTAATGCCATCCCATAGAAAACATCCCACCAGCTTGGGAGTTACCAGTGTTTATTCAGATGTAACTTCCAGTTGGTACAATGTCCGTCTTTCTGAATTCTCAGAGGGTTTAAAATGCGCTCTCTGTATTAATCACAGTGTCAGGAAGTGGGAATGCGTTGCCGCGGTGGCTCTGCTCTCGCACAGTTCAGCTGATGAAGGAGGAACGGAGTTTTGAAGTTTGCCCTGTGTCACATCAGGGAGATTTCCCAGTTCAGCTTTGCTGTCAATCAGAATACTAGATTTTTTTTTTCTTTAAAAAGAAAAGCAGAGCAGTAATGAATAGAGTAATGAGCAGTGGCCCAGCCTCTCCCTCACTATGTGATAGACAGTGAGCACTGCAGAAAGCCATGAAAACCAAAAGGGTTGCAATTCCTTTGGCCTCTAGATAAACCATCTCCAAAAGGATTTGCTATGTAGTATGAAAATGAGTGACTAGATACTGTTAAATGAAGATGCTATTCTTCAAATAATAAGTAATTTCCATTCTGGAGTAGATAATTTATGCCTACTACCCAGGCAGGAATTGTGATTAATATGCTGCATTAGCTGCTTGAGCAGATAAAATCTCCAAGAGCTAAAGATCTTGTTTTCATGCAGATAAGGCTAATAAGAAAATCAAAGGAAGATAAAACCCTGAGAAAGTGATGTAATGCACAGAGCAAGTTATACCCTGTCGAAACTGTAAAGTCTGAATGAAATGTTACCAGACTTTCCTGTAAAAGAAGTAGGGAGAAAGGCTTATAAATTGGGACACCCCAAGCTCCACACCTGTAACATGATGGAAATGGAACTGACCTGTTTTGGCAAAGAGAGTGTGATGGCTTTTTTCATTCCCAAAAAGAGAGCTTTTTTCATTTCCCAAAAAGAGAGCTTTTTTCTTTCTTCAGGAGACCATGTGTCTCACAGGTGGCATGGGCAAACCACCACCATTGACAGCAGGTGGGGTTTTGAGTCTCAGATTAGTTGCAACAAACGAGACTTCTCTTGGTGTTCTCTTCCAGTTAGGTAATTTTTTATCTCTTAGACCTATAAATTAAGGGTAAATTGCTTTCTATATTTGTACTATTAAATTTGATAAAATCGAAAAGGTTTCCCGGGGTCATCTTGTTTAACCTCAGCTACTCAGCAAGACTCCACACTCTTGTATTCAGCAATCTATGCTCATTATTCATTTGATCTCAACATCTTTTTCCAAAGTTATATCCCAGACACGTATTTGTCAATGTAGCAAATCCATTTCTTTTCTGCTAGTAACCTTCTTCTCACTGACAAATTCACACTTTCATTTTAAGATGCATAATAAAGCCTTGAGGTCATACAAAACACTAAGATGGGTGGTGATAGTAATAACTAGAATGAATACACATAATCTAGAAATTTCTTCTCCTGTAAATGAAACTAATGTTCTTGTGCACAATAGATTTAATTTTGAGAAGCATATTTATGAGAAATTTATGAAATAGAGGTTATTTTCTTTCATTAAAACATCAGTATATCATGCTGTTGTTTTCTCTATGTACATGAGATGTAGATGAGACAGTTCCAGTATTGTTCCAGTGGGAGTCAGTTGTCAAGTAGGATTTTTTTTTTTTTTTAAGTTTGTTAATCACTCTTCTGCTCTTGATTAAAATCAGGATCTTGTTTCTCCATTTTAACTCGCTTGCACTGTTTGGCTTAACATGAGTCATTAGTCTTTTCCTTCTTAGTATTTATTTGGTTATCAATTATCTGTTTGGAATTGTTCAGAAATATGTGGTAGAACTTTTATTTCAATTTGTCTTTATGAGGGATTTATGATTTGGTTTTGGTGGTCAGTTGAATGCCCTTTAAGCTATGTTGTCAGCAAATATTGTGTAGGTTTCTGCCGTAACTGTGAATACATTAAGTGCTGGACTGCCAGTGTACAGCTTGAAACAGAATTTGGAGACTCCAATTTTGATTTAAAAAACCTATGTCTCCAGATTTACCCTTTTTTAAAAATAACGCATTAATATAATACATAAAGTACTGTATGTAATTATACTGTGAGGCATTTTATCTTACTGTGGTTATACAGGTTGTTGAGAAATTGTGCAGAAACAAAAACCAGAGTGATGAAGTACAATAAATTTACATGAATTATGCTCCTTCTTTCTTAGATATTTGGGCAATTGGCTGTATATTTGCTGAACTATTGACTTCGGAACCTATATTTCACTGTCGTCAGGAGGACATCAAAACAAGTAATCCTTTTCATCACGATCAGCTAGATCGCATTTTCAGTGTAATGGGATTCCCTGCAGGTAATTTATTACCCCCCTCCCCGCCCTGAAAGGAAATGACTAGTTGTTTGTATAGGTACGGAGAAGCTGTCAGTTTGATGGATTTGGGAATGCTGACAATTATGGAACAATAGCGCTGGCCAACAAATAGGAAGTCAAACAACTGCTGTAGTTATTTCTTCTCATGTATTACTTAACCTACATTTTCAGAATTGTAAACGCTTCTCCTTTCTCCCCCCCACCAAAGATAAAGATTGGGAAGACATAAGGAAGATGCCAGAATATCCAACTCTTCAGAAAGATTTTAGGAGAACAACGTAAGTGATGATGACACAACAACAGTTCAGTGCATGTAGCAGATAGGCAGAAATTGGCTCCTATCCTCTGACTTTTTGGGGAAGGGATTTTAGAGTGTTTGGGTTCTAACGCTGTGACAGCTGTCCTGTTTGAATTAGCTGTTTTGAATGGTGTTCTCTCCCTCAGCTGCTTGTTAAAAGCATTGACTGAGTGGCCACCTCATTTCTCTAGAAGATGGTGTCGTAAGTGCCATTTAATCTATGGCAGGCACAGACAAATGAGCTTGCTTAAACCACTTGGATTAGCTGTTCAAGATAACTTCATTCATTTTGTGTGAGAAAGAATAGGGAAGCACCTCCCTGGTCCTTTTGACCAGCAGATATGTGGAAACAGTAAAGTAGTGGACAGGAATTTCTATGGAAGGTAACGTGTTTGATAGGTTGTGATGCAAAGCCTATCTGGGATCTGAGAATTTTCCACTTTTAGTGTTTCCTGGTGCTTTGGCTAAATTAGTCAAGTGGTGGTGACAGATCAGAGGGTGTAAGGAGCAACACAGACTCCCTTGTAAGGCAGAGGACATGGATTCAGGAGTTTTTGGATTCTGTTTCCAGCTCTGCTGTGGATGCATTACATTGGCTTTATACAACATAGGAAGCTTATCTGCGCATGAAGCTTATTTCTTTTGAAAATGGCTATAGATAACCTCTGGATTTGTAGATTAAAGGCAAGGCACAGGCCATATATATTTGGGGCATTTTTGAGCTTGGGGACTATAAGGACTGTATAGTTTGCTGCAGGTTCAGGTCAGGGAGACAGAATGGTGAACTAACTGCTCTGCCAAATTGCAGCTGGAAACAACTTAATAGCTGTTACGCTGTTATGAACTGCTGTACGCTTTCTGTGGCAGAGCTGCTTTAGAAAACTAGAGTATAAACTTCAAGTTGAGTTCCTCTTGTCATATGCCCATGTCAACAGCTTATCCATATGCTATAAAAGTTGCACGTTCCACGGAAATAATCTGTACACAGTTGATACTACTCCTGTTAGTGAAAAGCACACTTTGTGTGCAACTGCTAGATAAATCTGACATGTTTTCTGATAGCAGTTCTTTTTACAGTTTACTTATTAAGGGCTGATAAATGTTTTTGTGAACACTTGGTACAGTTCCATATTCTTAATGCTGTATTATTTCAGAAATGTTGTTGTTTAACTGTATTTTTCAGATACGCCAATAGTAGCCTCATAAAATACATGGAGAAACACAAAGTCAAGCCTGACAGCAAAGTTTTTCTTTTGGTAGGTACAACTTCAAAATGACTGTGATGATAGGAATGAAATGCATTTCTAGTGGTAGTACCTGTGTCTGTTCTTCTATCTCATTCTAACAAACACCAATGTTCAAGAAAGCTATTTATCACTTACTGGCCATTTTTGAGATGTGTTCTGTTTGTATACGTTCATGCTGAGGGTGTGCTTAAACTGCTGGTATTGAAGATTTGAAGGTCTTATCTAATTAAGATCTGCAAGGCACTGGTGTACCCAGCCTTACCCTTAGGTCTGCTGTGCGAATAGGATAGTGAGTATTATATATCTCTTGATTCCATGTTGTTTCAGAGAGCTAAAGAGCTCCCAAGAGCTAAAGAGTTTTGTGAAGAAAGGGAAGAGGAAAGTAGAGAAATTTAGTTATTCCCTGTAGTAACTGTAGTAATGTTCTTTATTTTTCTTCTTTTTTTTCTCTCCCCCCCCCACCTCCCCCTTCCCCCTGATAATAGCACCTCTGTTCTGTGGGTGATTCCAAACAATATCCCTAAACATGTATTTGCTGGTTACCTAGTTGAGTCATTCATTGTAGGTGAACGCAGCGTTGCTCTGTCTAATATAGCATCATTTCTGGATGCCTCTGTGATGACTTAGTGCTGTCTAAATTTAGGAATGAAGTTCAAAGTGGCTTTGCTAGTGCTGCGAACAGGGAGTCTCTATAATGAGGCTGTTAGTGCAGCTTGAGTTCTAGTGGTCTGTTTTCATCACTAGTTACAGATTCTTCTCTCTAGGTCCTGGCAAAGATGTGCTCTTTCACTTGTTAGTAGCTGCTGGATGATGACACAAATAGCTGTGGAAACAGAATAGGTTGGTCCCAAGTGCGTGAAAGGGAAGCATTTGCATAAGAAGTGCAAGACTTCAAAAAAAAGATAATTCTTAAATTCAGCTTACTGGGCACACATTGGAATGATCTGGAGGAAGACTCTAACTGAAAAGATAACAATTGTAAGAAACAGTTAGTTAGCACCTGAATTTCCCATTTTCCTACTAAGGGTAAGGGTGGAAGCCAACAGAAAGCCTGGTGGAAAGGCAAAGAAGCAAATGGGTTGCTGTCAGTTTATATGGTTAATTCGTCAAAGCTATGAACACTAAGTTGAGAGTCATCTTGGGTGGCTAGGCTACTTTTCCAGGGGGAAATATTAACCAGAACTCCAAAAACCCACAAAACTAACCATATATGGTTATATGGCACATATATAGATATAAAAGAAACTTTTCATGATGGAGAAGTAGTGAGTGAGACAAGGTTATTACAGGGTGACTGAACAAATAGATAACTGTCTACCTGTGTATTCCCCTGTATAATTGTGAGAATGAGAACTGAGTTATCCAAACGTCTAAGGGCTCTTTCTAAACATCATGAAGAAGATAGTTCACTTAGCAAAGTAGGTTCTGTTAGTCAAATTTTTCTCACTGTTCGTAATCAGGGATGAGTAAGGGTGGTTTAGTGATCAACCACAGAGATGGAGGCTGGTCTCAAATAGATCAGACTCCTAGAGCTCTGCATAAGAATGCCCAGGAACATGGGCAACCTTCTTGATACCTCATTGCTGCACTGAGGAGGTCCATATACCTAAATTGCCACAGCCATGCTATAGCAAAGAGGCTCAGTACCTGCCTTATCTTGTGAAAGATCCTAAAAACCAGCAGATCTTGAAGGAAAGGTATGCATTGCTCTCCCAAATCAAGAGATTAGAAATGTGTCTGCTAACAAGCTTGGAGGTACATGTATTCTGAAGTAGACTCCCTAAAACTCCTTGTTCATATCCAAGGTAGTTACGTTATTTTTTTGAGGTAACCTTCATCTTGCAAGGTGACCTCTGACGACATGTACTTTGTAACCATCATTGGTCAAGACTTCGTGCTAATGAGTGCAGAAAGTGTGGCATATAGAGAAAATATGGCATCAAGTAGACCAGTGCAGGATAGCAAGTGACTCTTGACAAAGAGGAAGATATTGTGCCACTCTGCTGATTGACATTGAGTGTTAATATCTACATGAAGGGCAGAATGTTTTTCATCCAGGAAGAGGCATCTGTTCTGGCTGTCCTGGAAAAGTTACAAGCATAGTATTTATAGCTGTCATGTCAGGCCAATAGAGCCCGACAGTGAGCAATCTTGAGAGCTGCTGAGAAGTATGAGACTGTTGATGAAGTCCAGTCTCACAGGCTTTCTCTGTTGTGTTAGCAGCTGCTACCCTGAAATCAAATTGTGTCCAGCCATTTTGTATTCACTTTCCTAGGAGCAACAGAAGCTACAGAAAACCAGATTTTGTCAAAGAAAGTTGGTTCACATTAGCATCACTGATAGGCAGGATGTCTCACTTGGAGTGATGTTGTGTGTGGAACGGGCAAACTGATTACGTCCTCTGAGGTGGAAGGGGATTACTAAGGGAATGAGCAGATCATTAAAAGGTCCAAGATATCTTTAGATCTTCTGCTGTGGCCTTATCTTCGAATGACAAAGAATACATGTCATGTTTGGAGGCAGCTTGTGATGAGGGTGCTATATGGCAGAAAGCTGGAGGAGCTTTCTCTTGAGTAGTACTGCAGCAACCAGTTCCGAGGAAGGAGTCCAGGGGGCAGAAGCTGATGTCCTGTACTCATCTGTCAATGGCCACATCTGGTACCAAAGACCAGGAGTCACCTTATACAGAACATGAATGTTTGTCACTGTGGAGGACCTGGGGAGAAGAAATTTGCATGACCTGTAATGGTGTTACAAGCCACTAAAACTAAGAAAAATGTTACATATAGGGAGAGGTGGTGATTTGAAATAAAGACGCTGAATACCGAAGTTGTTTGTATTCGCTGTATCATGTGAAGTCACTGTAGAGAGCCAACAGCACGTTAGAGGTTGAATTTGTTAAGATACGCAGGAAACATAGGGTTAAGGGTTATCTGACAACACAAAACACAGTAAGTGTGCCATGCAAACTCTCCAGGTGTGTGCAACGCAGGATCATCTCGAGGTGTATTTCTGGACAAGCAGCAG